CCATGTTATCCCTGGTGCTCAGCTCAGTGCCTCACAAAGAAAACTAAGCACTTAGCACAGGGGGTCAACACTCCCTAGTGAAGGAGGAGGGCATAGAGGCAAAGGGACTTGTCCATGGTATCCTGTGGTTAAGAAGAGGAGGCAAGGCTGGAACAAGACTGGAATGGGTGGGTCTCACATTTCCCACCAGCTACGCTGTGTGCCGCCCTCCTAGATGCAAACCTGAGTGCACAGGATGTTCGGGCGTGCACAGTGGGAGGCATCTCCTGGCTGGGCTCAGGCTTGCTGGTGGTGCTGCACAGGATTTGTGCCCACAGACTTTCAAGCGCTGGGTTTCCTTTTCAGCCCCAACCCCTTACCCATGTGCCTGGAGACAGTGTAAGTCTCAGTAGTGGGTTGGGAGGCCTGGATCCTGTGCGTATTAGGTGGATAATGTGGGCAAGTCATGTGGTCTCTCCAAGCCTGTCTGTAAAATGGAGGTGACCCCCGTTCCTACTTCATGAGGCTATTGTGAAGACTAAGTGAAGGAAAATGTGGAAAGGGCTAAGTACAGTGACTGGCCCTTCATCATAGTTCAACAAAAGGTCACTCACCTCCTACACCCGCCCACACACACATCTCCACCCCAAACTGTGCTCCAGATGTTTCCTGAAGATAAACCCAGGGGAACACACTGCTGTTCCCACCTAATGGAAGTAGCTACTTACTGTATAGTGGTTGTTACATGCCAGGCAATGTCGTATTTCACAAGTGAAAAAACTGAGCCTCAGAGAAGTGAGGTAACTTGCCTGAAGTCACACAGCCACAAAGTGGCAGAGTTGGGCGAATCTGCCTGAACCCAGACAGGCTCGAATCCTGGGCTCCCAACATGCTAGGGCAGTGTTCATTGTGGTGGTAGAAACCACTAGCAGGGGCCAAGAATAGGAGAAGGGCAGTGTTTTTATGAAAAACAACAGGGAAGGTTAGAGTTGGTGTTAAAACATAAGATCATGGAAAGTTTCTTGGAAATTAAGCACATGCTGTTGAACAGTTACTCAAATGGATTTGCCCCCAGGAGCTGCCAGGTGATCAAGCTGCAACTTGTGTAACTGGGGAGCAAGAAGGTGGGAGGCTCTAATCCCAGGCAAGCTCGGCATTGCCTCTCCTGTTAGGTGAATGGGCAGATCTGCTCCCCAGGCTGCGGCTGTCTGAGTACAGGGATGTGTCCCTTGCCTCCTGTGGGCTGTAGAGAGGCCTCCTCTGTGTTCATGATTGTCCTTCAGCTGACAGAAGTTTTAACACTGTCCCTTCTGGCCCTGTCTTCTATAGGAAGCAGGGATCTCATCCCTTCTCATCTCTTCCCTTCCCATTTAGGACTCTGATGCAGTACAGTTAATCTGTGCATAGGAAAGAAGAGCTGTTTAAAGAGGTTATTCGGTAAATGCAGAGAATGTCTTTGTAGTATAAATCATTGTTCTATTTAAAACTGCTTGTAGGTTTTTGTTGGTGGTGTTTTTGTTTGTTTGTTTTAGAGATGTGGTCTCACTCACTATGTTGCCAGGCTGCTCGCAAACTCCTGGGCTCAAGAGATCCTCCTAACTTGGCCTCCCGAAGTGCTGGGATTATACCTATGAGCCACAGTGCCCAGCCTGGTTACAAGTTTTTAAAGTTTTGCTAAAATGACAGGCATCTGAGGACATTATTGCCAACTATATATTGTCCCAGAAACAAACATTCATCCTTTACTATAAAAATCTTGTGTGTATGGGTTCTCTCCCAAAGAAGAGACAGCAAAATGCTCACAGCCAGCTCTTCACCCGATGTGCATGTGCCAGGAGAGAAGCCCAGAGTCCTTGCTAGTCACCCAATCCAGTTCCCTTATCACTGGTGCCAACAAGGCAATGTTTTCTAAGGGAAGGGAAACCAACATTTATTGAACATGTACTACTGCCTACAGCACTATTTTGGGGGCTTTTTATTTCATTTCATCCTATGAAGTAGCTAGAGGTAAATACAATCCCCACTTTGCAGAGAGGGAAATTGAGAGGTTAATAGCCTGTAAGAAGTGGTTGAGAGTATGTTTGAACACATATCTGTAAGCCTTAATCTTTCCACTAGATCAAGCTGCTTCCCATTAGGGACATAAAAGAACCCTGTGTTGCCACTGGAGGTTTTTACCTCAACATACCCTAAAGCCAAAGACTCCCATATACTAATGTGGACTTATCAGATTCTTGTGGGTCCATACACTTGAGCAGCTAGCTAGGTATACTTATTCCAAATGAGTAGCTAATAGATAGGCATGGCAGAAACTTATTAGTTGTTCAACAAACCATACCCATTCTTCTTCCTAAGCACCCACCTTGAACACATTTCTCACCCCACCTTGTGGAGGTACAGCCATGTGACTGTTCTAGGCAACGGAATAGGAGCTCACCTGATGTACATATCACTTGCAGGCCTGGCCCATAAGCCCTTCCACAAAAAACCACTCTCTTTGTATACCCACCAGATGCATGGTGGAAGAAACAGGAAGGCCCTCAAGCAACAGTTCTCATCATTGGCTGCTGACTGAAATCACAGGGGAGTTTTAAATATCCCCATTGTCAGGCTGCATCCTAGACCAAATAAAACAGACACTCTGGAAGTGGAACCAGGAATCAGGACTTAACAAAGCTTTCCAGGTGATTCCAATGCGCTGCCAAGGTAAAAAATCATTGCCTCAGGCCAGGCATGGTGGCTCACGCCTGTAATCCCAGCACTTTGGGAGGCCAAGGCAGGTGGACCGCCTGACATCAGGAGTTCGAGACCAGCCTGGCTAACACATTGAAACCCCGTCTCTACTAAAAATACAAAAAATTAGCTGGGCGTGGTGGTGGGCGCCTGCAATCCCAGCTACTCAGGAGGCTGAGGCAGGAGAATCACTTGAACCCGGAGGCAGAGGTTGCAGTGCAGTGAGCTGAGATCGTATCATTGCACTCCAGCCTGGGCAAAAAGAGCGAGACTCCATCTAAAAAAAAAAAAAAAAATTAAATCACTGCCTCAGAGCAATGATTCTCAAAATGTGTCCCTCAACCAGCAAGATCAGCAAAGACTGGGAACTGTTTAGAAAATGCACATCTGCAAGTCCCATCCCAGACCTACTAAGTCAGAAACTCTGGGGAATTGCATTTTAAGTTCTCCAGATGACTCCGATGCATATTGAAGTTTGAGAACCACTGCTCTAGAAGAAGTAAGTGCCAAGACAGAAGGAGCCTGGTCCTGAGCTGCTGCTTGGAGGAGGGCCATGTGGGAGAACCACTCTATCAGGAACAACATATCACAATATTGTGTGAGAAATCCACTTTTATTGTGTTAAGCCATTGACTCAATGGGTACGCATTTATGTGGCTTATGACAACATAAAAGATTGGAAGGTGGGGTCTAAGCAGTGGTGTGCAGGAGCTGGTTCACACCAGCTCATCTGTTAAATTTTCAGTAATTTTGCAAACAAGGTGACTTCTCATTGCTAACATTAAATTGGCCAAGGTTGGAATAGTTGCACCATGGAAACTGCCAAATGCTACAAACCAGGACTTGTTTTCCCAGAGAGCTGGTTGTTAAACATTAACTAGCACACCACTGGGATTAAGCATCAGACAGTAGAAAGGCAGAATGATGGTACAGTGGCCCTGGGCTGTAATGAACCATCAAAGGAAATGCCATCATGTGAGGCTCCCTAGGCCCAGCCCACACTCAGGCTTCTCTTGAAAACATTGTGTCTTTGCCATGTCCTTGTATTTAGAGATTCTGGAAGCTGAGAAAGACTGTGGAACCAGAATGATGGTTAGAACTATCATTTAGGTTAAGAACTGGTGGGTTTCAAGCAGGGTTTCTCAACTGTGGCACTGTTAAGATTTTGATCAGATGAATCTGTTTGGGGGACGCTATCCTGTACATGTGCATTTTTAGCATGTTTAGCAGCCTCCCTGGGCTCTACCCACTAGATGTCATTAGCCACCCTTCTCCCTCCATTTGTGACAAGGAAAAGTGTATTCAGATACTGTCAAATGTCGGTCTGCTGGAGGGCAAAATCACCCCCAGTTGAGAACTACTAATTAAGAACTACCTAGAAAGCAAGAGACACCCCCATAAGTGTGAGCTGGGCCTCAGCCTACCATCTCAACCCCATAACAATTTAGGGAAGATGCCTTTGGATTCAACTGTAATCACTTCCTATCACATTCTATTAATCTCTTTTCCAGTGTTCCCTATCTCTCTGATCACTCCACTCCCTTCTCAACCACACAGCTCCTAGAGCCTGTACTACCACATTAGCTCTTGGTTTGGGAGTGTCTGATGGTGACTGAAAAATATTTCAAGTGTGTTAGCTTCTCTCCTTGACACCACTGGCCTCCATCCCTCTTCAAGATAGTATGGTGCAGAGACTGAGAACACTGGTTCTAATGGCAGCTGGTCTGCCTGGATCCTTGCTCTGCCACACTTTAGCTCTGACTTTAGGCAAGTCTCTTAACCTCTCCGAGCCTCCTCCATTTCCTTGTTAATCAAATGGGTGAAAATACTATTTCCTACTTCACAGAGTTGTAGAATAAAGTGAGATAATACTCAACAAACATTGGCTACTGTTTTTCACTAAATGGATTTTAGAGCGCACCCAGAATGGTGGACCCTGTGCCACATGCTGGGGGCATGGAATTGAGCAAAACAAACACATAGGCCCACTCCCTGTTATAGTCTTGTGGGGAAGACAGTGCAATGAGCAGGTCTTAAGACGATGTGTGGAAGTGCCAGAATAGGAAAATCCCCTGGTACCACAGAAAACCACAGGAGGAGCCTAACAAGCCTTAGGGGTTGGGAGGAGGCTCCTGGGGAAAATAAAGATGGGCTCCAGGCAGGCCCTGCTGGTTGCCTGCCAAATGTACATGCCCTCGCCTTGGTCTTTATCCAACCCGTGCTCCACTTGGGTATCCCAATTTTTCTGGACCTTTTTCCTTTACATTTTTTTCCATTTATTTACTTATAAAAATATGGAATGCTTCATGAATTTGCACGGCATCCTTGCACAGGGGTCATGGTCATCTCTGTGTGGTTCCAATTTTAGCATACGTGCTTCTTAAGCCAGCACTCTTCACTTTTTTGCACTACACTCAGCTCTTCTTCGTATCTTTTCCTAAAAGGTAACCAACCATTTTAATGTTTATCTTCTTACTTCAATGTGTTCTTGCATCATGGGTATTGTTTTGTGTGTGTGTCTATGTACTTTTAAACTTTTATCATAAAAATTTTCTAAGGTACACAAAAGTACAGAAGATAATATCACAAACCTCCATGTAGCCATCACCTAGTTTGAACAATTTTACCAACATTTTTCCAACTGTGTTTTATCTAGTCTCTCTACTCCATCCTTATTTCTTTCTTTCAGAAGTAGTTTAAGACAATCCCAGACATTGTTTCACCCATTATACATCTCAGTATGCATGTTCAACAGAAAATGACCTTTCAATAAAGCTCATAACCACCAAGTAGATTTTTTTTTTTTTTTTTTTTTTTTTTTGCTATGAGTACTCCTGATCCATTGCTTCTAACTGCTGCACAGTGCTTTTTGTGTGCCCGCCCCACATCTGACCTATTCTTTTCCACAATAATTGACACTCAAGTGGTGGGCAACTCCCTTCCACCACTAATAAGACTGCAGGAACATCCTCACTTTGTGAGAATTTCCCCTGGGACATAACTGTGGGTCACACGATATATTCATTTACATAATTTCACCAAGAAGACCAGACTGCCCTCCAGAACGGCTGCACCAGTCCACAGTCTCACCAGCAGCGTGAGGTTCCCATGTCCTCACACCCTGCCAATCACTGGAATTATCCAGCTGGCCTTTTTTCCTTTTTTTTTTTTTTTTTTTTCCACTTTTCTCAGACCTCACAGGTTTCTATTAATAATTGTTTTCAGTCTAATGTATGTAAAGTCTCATTTAAATTCATATTGTTGATGATTAACAATGATTTTGAGCATTTTATCATATTTTGTAAGATTTTAGGGTTAATTCTTCTATAAATTGCATGTTCATATCTTTTACTCATTTTTCTATGGGGTTGCTGTCTTTTTCCTGATTTGTAGGAATTTCTTGTGTATTCTAGATATTAGTCAGTTTTAGACATTGCAAGCATCTTCTCCCAGTCTATCATTTGGTCCTACTTTTTGATGACTTTTGTATTCACCTTTCTCTCCCACCTTCAGCTCCAGGGGGATCTCCTGCTCAGTCTCATCTACTCATGAGACTCCTATACCCCCTTGCCAGTGATGGATTTAGGAATACAGTTGTTCCCAATTCTCTACTGAGAGAGTGAATTCAGCCAGAGGGCTTCCAAGAAAAATTTCTTCACTCCTCAGAGACATGAGAAGATCTGGTCTCTGTCTCTCCTCCCCCTGAGTGTTCTCTGGATATGACATGGAGCTTCTGTAACCATCTTACTACCAGTTTGAGGACAAAACCCACTGTGAAGGCATGGTACTGTTGGTGGCAGGGTTGAGCCACTGTATTAACCACCCTGGGGCCTGCAACGCCTCTAGTCTTCCCTTTAAGTGAGATAATAAATGTCCTCCTCATCTAAGTTAGATTGAGCCAGGGTTTCTGACACTTGCAGTGAGAAGGATATGGACAGACGCAGCCTCTAAGCCAGGAGTTTCTGAATCTTTTTTTTTTTTTTTTTTTTATCACAATCACCAGTAAGAATTTGGCTTTTTATATCCTGATCCAGTATACACATAACTGAAACAACACTTAACTTTATGGTGTCCAGTGTGCTCAGATAGCCTCTTTTCTATTTCCTTTGTTCTTTTTGGTTTTGTTTTTTTGGAGGGTATGGGGGACAGTAATGCTCGATGTAACCTACTAAATTAATTACACAAGCTACTAATGGGTCATGACCCACAGCTTGAAAAACATTGCTCTGGGTTTTAGGCCTCTGAACTGAGGCCTACAAGAATAATGGGCTTTAGTCAAGTAAGATCTGAAGCAGGGAGCGAGGATGGTGTGGAGGATGTTTTCTAGGAAAGAATACTGTAAAGAAGCCCTCAGCAGGATGGGGCCAATCAGATACCTCCCTCCCCCAAGGGTGACCACAGGGTGAGCCCTTGATAAACCTTTGTTGATTGGTTGTATTCCCTCCCACAGCTCTCCTCCCAGGGTGCCTTTCTGCAGCCTTATTCTATGAATAGATGAGAGCTTTTATCTCCCCTCTGCCTAACCCTCAGGACTCCGAAGAAGGGCGGCAGGCGGGGGGATCCCTGAAGTCGGCTAATTAGAGATGGCTGGGAGGATTACCAGGGCCTTGCTCTGGCAGCTGTGCCCACCTCTAAATTCAATATCCAGAATCTGCAGAGAAAGGGCTCACCTTGAGAAGCCCCGAGACAAAGCAGGAGACAGATAGGGTTTGTTCTCAACAGAGCACTCACCCTCTGAATACAGTTTTTGTTTAAGCCCCAAGGCTGGGAACATTCCACAGCCTGGCAAACTCCCTGTCTCCTCAAGGTCAGTCCTTCCTCGGCATTCCTCTTTGGAAACGTCTCCCACGGCTGGCCCTGCTCCTGCCCCCTGGCTTTGGGGGCAGTTATATAACTCTTAGGAAGACCTAGAAATACAAGCATATGGTGTCCTCAATTCCCAGCAAAGACTTGCTGCTTCACATTTTTAGCTGGTGCTGAGAGACTGGCTTTCACACACAGACACACACACGTACACATCCCTGACTCATAACTACATTTCTGCTGCAGTATTGCAGATTTTTAAAAAATTAAATCCTACCTCTGGAGCCACATAAGGGTGAAAGCATAGGACGTTTTGTCCCAGTAACTGTGGGGATGGAAAGCCCGTATCAGGGCCACTGCAGGGCCAGGGGTCCTAGCACCCCTGGCCTTGGCTCTGAGGGTTTGGTTGCTTGTAGCTGAATTCCCTAACCAAAGCCTGTCATGTGTGGTGCCAAGCTCAGCATGCATCTATTACATGTTTGCAATGACTAAAAGATTAGGGAAGAAAGCCTGGTTTGTGGGGATCAGGGATACTTAGAAAATATGTTCTGCAAAATGTTTTATTAGAGGTTCTGAAAATTAAGACACAGAAAGCATTTTACTTAATGAAGAAAATAGGGTAAATATGTTCAAAGGAGTATAGTTGTTAAAAGCAAACTGTTTAGAGTCAAGGTCAACCCAGATTCACTTTCTGGTTCTCTGTAGCTTACTAGCTGTGACCTTCAACAAGTCTCTCTTAACCTGAGTCTTAGTTTTCCAATATGTAAAATGGACAGAGCATTGTGAGGGTGGTTGTAAGGATTAAATGAGATCAGAGACTTTAGCACCATGACTGTAAAGACAAAGGGCTCTATAAATGTAGCTGGTACTACAATTCACTTTTTTTTTTTTTTTTTTTAGACAAGAACTGACTCTGTCACCCAGGCTGGAGTGCACTGGCATGATTACAGCTCACGGCAGCCTCGACCTGACAGGTTCAAGCCATCCTCCCACCTCAGCCTCCAGAGTAACTGGGACTACAGGCATGAGCTACCATATCCTGCTAATTTTTGTATTTTTTTGTAGAGATGGAGTTTTTCCATGTTGCCAGGCTGGTTTCAAACTTCTGAGCTCAAGCAATCTGCCTGCCGTGGCCTCCTAAAGTGTTGGGATTACAGGCAAATGAGCCACCACGCCAGCCCACAATTCACTTTTAACACAAGTGAAACACATTTCATTAGACAATGGAATAGACTTATGCTAATTTTCTTTTCTCTCTTACTTTACACAGTCTGATTTCCTGAAGAGAGGAGGTGGGAGTAAGCTAATCAGGCCCTGAGTTAGCTGTCTCCAACAAGCTTAGAGTGTCCCACTTACCTACGGGTTGCAGGGCCTGCACTGCCAGTAGGGCTGGCTTTTAGGGGTGCTGCTGTTGGTGTGTGCTGTACTTGTTTTCTAGGATTGGGACAGGCATCCTAGAGCTCCTGGCTTTAAAGGCCAGGTCTGGGAACTGATGGGTGCAGCAAAAGCAAACAGACAGCAAACAGGCCAAAGAGGAGATTCATTCACTGAAGAGGACCCTGGTACAGTACTGTTGAGGTTTTGCTGCGGCCTGGACACTGCTGGCTCCTTCGACTTACACAATACGTCTTCTCTCTCTCTTTACCTGCACTTAAAAGAATCGGTGCTAAGCATATGTGCCTACCACAGTGCAGCCTGTAGATTATCTAGTGAAGAAAGAATTTTTGCCATTTCCCAAATATTAAACGCCAGGTTCTGCCTCTGCGTAATTTTCTCAATCTTCACAACGCACCTGCTAACTCCAGTTTACAAATGAGGAGACGTACCGGCCGGCTGTTGCAGGCATCTGATTTTAAGGGCAGTGACAGTAGAGAAAATGATTTATTTTAGCATCAGCCACTGTGCTAATCCCTTTAGATATCATCTCATTTAATCCTTTTAACAACCCTGAAGCACCATCCTTACTCTAAAGGGACTTCAGACCTCTCTGCCGTCCACACTGTCCCCTGCTCGGTGCAGGAGTGTAGACTGGGACTGTTCCGTCTGGTGGTCTCCCCGACAGGGGCTCACCTGGAAACTGGCCTTTGGGCTGGGACTGTGCCTCTGTACTTAGGCTGGCAGCCCATATTAGGACAGGGCACCATGAAAAGCACTTTCTTACCGCATATGCACGATTTCACTCGGCCCTCACACAGCCCACGAGGTGGGCACTGTCACAGTGCCATCTCACAGGCGAGGAGGCCAGGCCCGAGCCCTGAGGATGCGCCGCTCAGGTGGAAGCCTCCTGGTAGCTCGCGCGGCAGCCTGGGGGCGCGCGGATTCGTCTCTGCGCTACGGCGGCTGCCGAGGACCATCCCGCAGAGGCGGCGCTTGGTGGCGGGTCCTCGGCCTGAGGCTGGGTGACGCTTCCAAGCCCGGCCCGACCTACGTCTGCAAGAAGAGCAGAGGGTCCTCAGTCGGGAGCGGACCCCGCTGCGGCCCCAGCCGGCCCTGCCTGCAGCCGCCACCTGAGCGTGGGCGCGGCTGCTATCTCCCACCCGCGCGTCGGCCAGTAAAGGGCTCCATGCTTAAACATCATTCGTTACAGAAGTATTGCAGCCATCACACGGCATTTTAAAAACACGAATGATGATAAATGACTTTAACACTGCTTCCAATTCTGCCCCAAGCACAGCATCATTACCATTTGCATGCGTTTCACTTCATTCGATTTCCATGTCTATGGATTTGTTTCTACACAGCTGTGGTAAAACGCACATAATAACCTGAATCCAGGGTTATTTTCCACTTTGTAACATGAACATTTTCACTGTGTTATTACAAACGCTTCCTACCTATAATTTTTAATGGCAGGACTTTAAAAAATTGGGTTCATAACGCTGTCACTTCTCTGAGCATCTCGCAAATGTTTAACATTGAAGTGGCTTCCAAAGCTTCACCATTATAAATTATTCATTTTTTTTTTTTTTTTTTTTTTTTTTGAAGTAGAGTCTCGCTCTTGCCGCACAGGCTGGAGTGCAGTGGCGTGATCTCATCTCACTGCAAGCTCCGCCTCCCAGGTTCAAGAGATTCTCCTGCCTCAGCCTCCCGAGTAGCTGGGATTACAGGCATCTGCCACCACGCCCACCTAATTTTTGTACTTTTAGTAGAGACGGGGTTTCACCATGTTGGCCAGGCTGGTCTCGAACTTCTGACCTCAGGTGCTTCCCCCTCAACACCGCCTCGGCCTCCCAAAGTGCTGGGATTACAGGCGTGAGCCACGGCGCCTGGCCCATTCTTGTGTATAAAGTCCTTTCAGTATTGAGATCAGTTTCCTTAGCTTACATTCACAGGAGTGAAAGTGCTAGGTCAGAGTGTGAACATTTAAAAGCTTTCGGTATTATTGCCAAATGGCTTTTCACAGGTGACTTAGGAAGGTTTTGGTACTTGGAGCATTGCTACTTATATCCCATTTTTTCCCCCAGGAAAACATCTAAAACGTGCTTTCACTGAGAGATAGTGACCCTTTCTGAGAGTGTCTACATTTAATTGAGATCAGAGCTTGAAGTTGAAAATTTTGTGCCCTAATGGTGGGCCTTCAGACATCAGAAAACAGGGTAGGAAGGTTCTCACGGGTTAGGATTTTTCTGGTGACCCTGAATCGGGGAGCCACTTATTCTGCTTTCACTTAAGGCTAACCTAGACTCCCAGCCCTGTGTAGAGTTCTGAGGGACGCCAGGATCATAATGCTGGTGGTACAGAGTTCATCTGGAAGAAGTGAAATAATTTATGAATTCACAGAATATTGATCATGATATCCTTCCTCCTCTAGATGACAAGGTAATAAAGAATAATGAGATGTGATCATGGGAAATAGCCACCATGAGCAGCAGCCACCAAGGCACATAAACACTGTGGAACTGACTCTGCTGTCAGCATGTGGGTTTCTGGGGTGAGAGATTAAACCAAACTCAGTCCAGCTTCTTGTTTACTCTGTGTAAATCTACTCACTGTCAGGAATCTTCAGGCCAGTGTTGCCACCACTTGTTCTGTCTGTGATTCCAGTAATGAGTAGGAGGTGACCGGCAGGCAGACTGTCTCCCTATGGGTAGGGAGCCTCAGAGTTCTGCAGAGACTGGGGTATAGGTAGAAGATGAAAAAATATCCTTTCTGAATCAACTCTTTGCCTGTCTGGGAAAATCCCTACATTTCCTACCCCCACTTTCTCTGCTCTAGGACCTAAGCCTTGGAGAGTTCCCCCCAGTTCATTGACAAGCTCCCTACACTAGAGTCCTTTTGTAGTGGGCATTGGTGTGCACCACTCAGATTTCTCTTTAGGATTGGTGAACTTATTCCCTCAAGCTGCTGGGGATTTGCTGGCAGACAGACTTCTCCAGGAAGTGCCTTAGCTGAAGAGAGATGCCTCACTCAAGGTCACACCCCGTTCCCTTTCCTGGAGCAGCCCACATCCAATGAGGTATACTGGTCTAGCACCCTCACCCCACCTTCAGAGTTCCCTCTGGGGTCAGCAGATACTTTTGCTGAGACTGCTTTGCAGCCCAACTTCTCTCTCTGTACAAACTGTTTATCATTTTCCTTCTGTTTTGAAGGTGTTAATCCCAAGACCGCTCCTAATAAATGTCCTTCATGGAAGTTTCCATCTCTGTGTTGGCTTCTGGGAAACAGCCTGTGACACCAATCCCACATGAAATATTTATGTGCTACTCCCTGGGTCCCTTGTTTGATAAACATTATCTAACAATAACATGGGGATAAGGTCACAACTCAAAATAGACTAGCTTACAGCTTTGCAGCTTGTTGTGTGTCACCTCGTCACTTCTTTTTTTCTGATTCTCACAAACCCTGTCACACTACAATCCTATTTCTAGGTGTGGAAGACAAAATAATGGCCCCCAAAGAGGACTGCATCCTAATCCCCAGAACCCTGTATATGTTAATTACATGGCATAGGGAAATTAGGATTGCAGATAGAATTAAGGTTGATAATCAAGTGATCTTAAAATAGGAAGATTATACTGAATTTAACAGGCTCAATGTAATCACAAGGATTCTTAGACGTGGAAGAGGGAGGCAGAAGAGAATCAGAGTGAGATGTGACTATGGAAGATAATCAGGGAGATGTGAAAAGTACTTACTCGCCAGATGGAAGAAGGGGTCATAAACCAAGGAATAAATGTGGCCTCCAGAAAATGTGAAAGGCAAGGAAATGGATTCTTCCCTCGAGCCTCCAGAAAGAAGTGCAGCCCTGCCAACACCTTTATTCTAGCCCATGTCAGAGTTCTAGCCTGAAAAACTGTAAAATAATACATTTATGTTGTCTTGAGCCATTTAATTTGTTGTAACTTGTTACAGCAGCAATAGGAGACTAAGACACTGGGCAAATCTGCTTCCTTCCCAAGGGCTCACTTATAGGTGAGGCCGCAGCAGGAATAGTGAGGAGGAAGCAGTTGCAACAGAACAACCTCTCACATGAATAACCCTTGGCCCTCCTGTCTTGATGCTACCATGAAAGAAGAAAGCATCTAATATTTCTCTATAATCTACCTCTTTAAAGTGAAATAATAAATCTGAGAATTTTAGCAGTGGAAAAAAGGATAAAGTTCATCTTTATCAATGACTTTCAAGCTTTCATTTAGCAGAGGAACATTTTTTAAAAATAGGGAATCACAGACATACAGTATCTAAGACATACAAGTGGAGCTATCCTGATTGAAGCCCAAGGTCCATGGTCTTTCGCCTCCCCTGAGGAACTCTAACTTTCGCCTCCCATAAGGAACTGAGGACGAAGGGCAAAAACCATCCACCTAGGACACTTGGCCCCTGGACTAGTTAACAGCAAAACAAAAATTAGAACTCAAGTCTCTACCTCAGCCCAGTGCCTAGGCAAAGAGTTTGACTATAGACTGTTCTCAGAACACTTGTGTGACAGGCTTCTCTGGTCAATGAGATTTCTGCAGCATCACAGGACATCTGTGAATTTCCTATGGACAGATCTACACCTCTTCTTACATGTTTCTTGTGGATGTTTCACTTTGTTATACACTGGATCTTCACACCTAGAACCAGTCCCACTGGAGATGTGAAATAAGCAGCTTACTACATGATGTGACTGTGTGACAACACAGTCATCATCTGACTCCAAAGCCCTCCCCCAGCAGTCCGCCAAGATGCCTGACACTCTACCATTGGAGTCACTAAGGTATTGCCTCCAAAAGCCTCCCTTCAAAATTTAAATACATTTCATTGATTGCGAGGCTCACACTGTATCATTTCTAAACATCAGAGCCTAACAAATCTCTGGATGCTTTTTTTTTTTAATGGTACATAAATGAATGTAGCATCTTGCAATCAATGTCATTTTAGATTTGAAGAAATATGGTAAGTGACTTGGGCGAATGATAAATAAATTAACCCAGTAGCACCTTTGAAGGCTGAAGCAGATCAGAGTCCTCAAAGAATGGAGATAGGACTGTGTGTGCATGTGTGAGTGTGTATGTGTGCAAGGCACAGTCTCTGCACTAGGAGGGATCTGAGCAGACAAGAACAAGCACAACAGGGAAGGGAGGGAGACATGGGAAAGGTTTCTTGGGCTGTGTGGAGTTTATATTCTGACATAGAAATTGAATAAATTAAAGATCCTCATTTGGAGACATGGGAAGAGGTTTTTTGGATTGTGTAAAGTTTATATTCTGACATAAGAAATTGAATAAATTAAGATCCCCATTTGTTCTTGGCAGCAAATGAGATTCCAAAATGGTTGCTAGAGTTATGTTACAATGACATTCCTTATTTCAGAGTCTATAATCAAGCAAATCAAGTTAATCAAGTAAATATAAAATATATAGTTTTAAATGTAACTCATTCGTTCTACCAAATGGACATACTCATCATTTCTCTGTACTGGCTAAAAATCAGATGGTCGCTAACATCAGCCTTAAAGAGTAACAGTTGGTCAACTAGACTTTTGTTTGTCCTTCCAGTTCATTTGGCTAAATGAACTATTAATTCATTTCACCAGCATCTTCTGACTTAATCAAAGGTCAGCAGCCCAAAGGTATTTGCCAATCCTAGGATGACATTTAAGATCTAAAAAATAAAAATATACTTTTGAAATACAGACATGCATTCATTAACTAATAATTATGATGAAGACAAGAGTTTATTATTTAAACAATTTTGTTTGAGAACAGAAGGAGAAACCAAAATTGCAATCCAGGGACTTGTTATTTTGTCTTCCCTGCTGCAAAAATTAGCTATCACTTGGTGTCCAGCCAAGGCCATGAAGTCCCACTTTGCTTGCCTTTCATTATAAATTTGGAGATGTGCTCCTCTGGAAAACAAATTGGCACTAACATATAATAAAATTCTCTGCAAAAGGACAACAGACCTTTACAAATCACACAGAGGAAAAACAACAGTTTTCTGCTAAAAAAAATTCATCATGTCACTGTCTGCAATTCACCAATATGGGTGTAAATGCTTGGAATATTTTTATGTTTGGCAGAAAAGATAAAGGTCTAAATAAGAAATATCACTGATGGCTTAACTGAACAGAACATAATGAACTGAAAATCTCTCAATTTTAGCAGCTCCCTCTTCAGCCCTTAGAGCACTCCCAGTAGTGGTGCAAACCCTGTACTTAGGTTATCCTGCAGAAGCTACTGGCATTTAGCAATGTGCTAGCTCATCTGAGGGAAGGCACAGGGAGATACAGAGATGCAGAAGTTGACCACTGAATGCAGCCCTAAGTGAGCAAATGGACGGAGAGAGCTCAAAATCTTGCAAACAGGTACCATTTGTGAAATCAGTGCCCCTTGTTTCAAACTCATTAATGGTGAGTTCCTGTATGCTGAGTTTCTGCAGAACATAGCCCATCTGGTTAGAAAAATGCCTACACCATAATTCAGCAGACATTTTCTGAAAGCATACCATGTGCAAGGCATTGAGTGGGGCACCATGGAGGATACATATTGACATTGTAGAGCATACCTGCCCCCAGGGAGCTCACCATCCATGGTAGAGACAGAAATACCACAGTAGGAAGATGAGCAGGACGACAGTGTTGTCACCCAGCCACAAAGGATAATGGGTGTGATGGGAGTCACAGAAGAGGGAGAGTTGCATCCTGATGCTGGATGGTGGGAGGAATGGAGATGATGTTCGGTCCACATCTTAACAGAAGAGTAGAATTTTAACAGGGAATGACGAAGAAAGTTCATTTAGGGCAGAAGACACAGTATGAACAAAAGAGATGATTGCAGGAAAATGCAGGGGTGTTTAGAGCAAGGGTGAGTTACTTGGGGTGATAGTGATGGAAAAAAAGAGGCTGGATTGTGCCGGTTTGCCCAGATGTTGTCTGGCAGGACTGAGGAAACTGGGAGGCTGTGGAGCAGGGGCATATCCTATCAGGTCACACCATGTGTCTTTGCCACCAATCTATCCTTCACGGGCTCAGAAGAGGGAGGACTAAATGCCTGTGATAGCCTGATTTGCTAGCAATTACAGGAATCACTGCCCTGCACGTGGTCTGACCTCATGCCTTAGCCTTCATCTACAGAAACTAAGGCTTTATTGTAGTCTAGCAGCCACCGCAACAAGCCCACTTAGAATCAAAACACCCCCTGGGATACCAGCCAAAGGGAGCAATGAGGGCAGAGCCCAGCCAACTGAGTGATGCTCATCCACCCCTCAACTTGGAGTTGAATTCACAGAGGTAAGCCCCATATTACATTTAGAACATTTTCAACACCCCAAAAAGAAATTCTATGCCTCTTACCCCCTCGGTTCTATCTACCACCTCCTCAACCCTAGGCAACCACTAGATCTACTTTCTGTCTATAAAAATCTATAGAGATTTGTCTATTCTGAGCATCCCATGTAAGTGGGATCATGCAATAACACCTTTTGCACCTGGCTCGTTTCACTTCACAGAATGCTTTCAAGGTTTATCCATGATGCAGCATCTAGCAGTATTTTATTCCTTTTTCATGATCAAATAATATTTCACTATGGATACATCTCATTTTATTAATCCATTCATCAGTTGATGGATATTTGGGTTGTTTTGCTTTTTGGTCATTATGAATAATTCTGCTATGAACACTTATGTACGAGTTTTGTGTGGACATATGTTTTCAATTATCTTGGGTGCATATATATGAAAGTGGAATTGCTGGGTCTTTTCTTCTCTATTTCCATTTCTTCTAGCACTTAACATGCATATCTATTAAACAAATAAATATCTGTTGAATGAATGAATAAAAGCATCTCATCTTCTTAGAAGACTTTTTGGCAGTTAACTACAAAACACACCAACATCAACAACTACAATTGGCAGTTAAGCCTTGTCATAGTTTGCTTTGTGGCTTATTTAGGTTGAGGTAAGCCGGGGACTCCTCTCACCTGCCTGATCCTTCTTTTGAAGCTGAGGAAGCTGGGGTGGGTGAGCAGAGTGAGCATGGACCTCCCCAAATCACCCAGGAAGACAGAAGCTTGTCTCAACTCTGGCAGGTTCTCAGAGCAGCAAAGGCCCCAGAATCTGAGTGACTCGCTCCAGAAGACGGAGCTGCCAGGAGCCTAGTCAGCCACGATGGGGCTTCACAAGGATGGCCCTCCATGCTGGGCTGTGGGATGAGGACAAGAAGGGACAGGGGCTGCATTCCTACCGACCCACCAATCTAAAGATGCTCAGGGCCTGGTGTATGTGTATGTGGGGAGGTAGGGGTGGTGGCCTAGGGCACATGCAACTGTGTGCACTTAGTATTCCTATGAGTATGCTGCTGCCCACAACCCAAGGGTTATTATCAGTCATAAAGGGACACATGGAGACTTGGAATTCTTATCCAGACAGCAGATGCCACAGTGAGGCCTCAGCCCATACCTCGTGCACCCTCCACACTCCCGCCCAGCCAGCACCGGGCTGCTCAGCAGGACAGCACAAGCATCGGACAAACTGCTTTGGCAGCTGTAACCCAGATTTATTCAGGGCAATGGGCGGCTAGGCAGGTTCCCTCCCAGCTGGTGCTGGGTAGGGCCGTGCCCTTCCATGGGCATCCCTATGGCATGCCAGGCTGGGTCAGGCTCCTCACAGATGGTCTGGCAACATGGTCTGACCCAGCTCACAGCTTCTGGGGTTCATTGGTCCAAGCAGAGCTACAACAAGCGGCTTGGATTTCTAGGGAAGGAGCAGAAGGAAACTCCTCCTGCCACCCTTGCCACCCCCTTTCCTCCTCCTATTGACTTTCCATCTGCCCTTCGAGGCCCAGCTGCCCACACACAGTTCCTGCCTCTTGTCATTGTGGGGCCCACATGGACACCCCCTCCTTCCTGTGCTCTCTCATAGTTTGATGGTCTATTTTCTCTCCAGCAAGACTAAAATCCTTAAGGCAAAGAATAGTTCTCCTTCCATAACAGCTTTTTTGAGACTTTCAGAACAGAGCCCCCGATTCAGAAATCAACAAAAACATTTTCTCAGCCTCATCAAGCCACTTTCATGTCTGATAGCCATACCCACTGGCCTGGCCCTTACTCAATACCTCGATGGTTCATTCAGCATGTAGCCAATATTTCATGCCTAAATAATATTTTAAAACAGTCATATTTTTAAGATGTCAAAAGGAGCACATGCTCAACAGAGAAAATACAAAAGCATTAAAAAAAAAACTACCCATCACCCCACATGCAGAAGTAACTCCTATAAAATGTTGGTGTGTATGTTCCTCTTATTTTTCTACTTGTATTTATTACTTTTTTCAAAATTGTGATTCAAATGTGCATGCTGTTTTACAACAAACATTATGAATATATCATAATGCTATTTGATTGGATTTTTTGCAATTTTAATGGCTATGTAATATTCTATCACATGGATGTCATGTGTTTTATTTAATCAGTGTTTAATTGTTCCTTATATTGGTTGCTTTCCATTTCAAAATTTATAAATAATGCCATGATGAATAATCTTTTTTTTTTTTTTGAGACGGAGTCTCACTCTGTCGCCCAGGCTGGAGTGCAGTGGCCGGATCTCAGCTCACTGCAAGCTCTGCCTCCCGGGTTTACGCCATTCTCCTGCCTCAGCCTCCCGAGTAGCTGGGACGACAGGCGCCCGCCACCTCGCCCGGATAGTATTTTTGTATTTTTTTAGTAGAGATGGGGTTTCACCATGTTAGCCAGGATGGTCTCGATGTCCTGACCTCGTGATCCACCCATCTCGGCCTCCCAAAGTGCTGGGATTACAGGCTTGAGCCACCGCGCCCGGCATGATGAATAATCTTACACAGAAATAATTTTGCACACTTCTGAATATTCTTTTAGGAAACTATGGGATCAAAAATTATAAACTTCTTCAATTTTTTTTTAATTTCCTTTTAAATAGAGACAGGGTATCATTATGTTACCCAGGCTGGTCTCAATCTCCTGGCCTCAAGCGATCCTCCCACCTCAGGCTCCCAAAGTGCTAGGACTATAGGCATGAGCCACTATTCCTAGTCAAACATTTTTAAAGCTTCTTAAACTCATTGCCTAATTGCCCATCAGATGAGTTATAGCAATTTACACTCCTACTGAATTTGCCTGCAATAGTTTGTAATAGGCATCTTTCGATTGGAATCCTCAAAATTAAGAGAGGACAAGGGCTGAGCAGGTCCAGTGATATCAAACGGTGGAGTAAGAAAAAGTAATACCCAGGCACAATGCTATGCAGAATGGAGAGCTATGTGTTCACAAAAATACCTATATTTGTCAAGAAAATGTTACACCATCCCACACACTCCCTACCCCCAGTGTCCTCTGCTGTAAGAGGCAGGCAAATATATAACACATTTTAGATAGTGTTCCTTCTAAAGCCAGGACAAAAGCAAGCGTCCTTTCAGTGGCAGAGTGAGGAGGAATCTTGGTGTCAGGAATCCTGAGTCTCAAGGCCCAGCTTGTCTGCCAGTCCCACAGAAACATACCCATTGGTGCCTTCATCCTGACCCTTGGTTTCCCCATCCAAAAGTTACAAAGATTATGAGAAGCTACACAGTGGGATTATGTGAGCGTCAAACATGATCAAGCAGGCCAAAAGACTTTGTAAACAGTCAAACGCTGACCTTATTGCTAAGACTGGATGCTTGAAGGGGTAAGCACTGTTCACTTGAGAGAAAGATGTTCTTCCCTGGAGACACTGGAAGGACAGAGCGCTGCTGCAGCATCCCCACAGCACCTAAGAATACAGGAGAGTCGCTATTAGCGACTCTTTTCCACATTGCAGAGACTGAATAAGAACTAGTTTCTGTAAGTCACAGGAGGAGAAAGAAAAGACCTTTGCCTATTTAAATTCCGGCCCACAAGGTTCTGCTTTAGACATGGCCAATTCAAGGCTTTTCTTGGTCCTTCATGTCATGGGGATTTAACTGCTCTACATTTTCAGGAAGCTTAATTGGCTCCGTTGCTAGAGGATCTGCTCCTACCATTTTCCTTTGCATTCGTGGCAGGCCTCAGAGGAAAAGCTGGAAATAATAATGTTGCAAGGTGAAATGAGGTGATGTGCTGGAAATTGCTTGGAAGAGTATAAAATACTAGGCAAAGGTAAGGTCTGATTGTCACCCCTGGTGTGGAAGCACTAGCTATGCAGGAGAGCCTGTGTAGCAGTCAGGTGAATTCCAGTGCCAGATCCATGTGCTATTGAGTCCTGGCTCTGTCCCCTACAAAGTGCACAACAATGGGCACAGTATTTTACCCACAAAGCCTTGTTTCCTCCTCTTTCCAGCACCTTCAGCTCCCTGAACATGTCTTTGTTCATGTGTTTGCTAACTACCTTCTTCCACAGAAGCAAGCTCTAGGAGGCAGGGAGATTTTCAGCCTTGTTGACTGGAAGATCCCAAGACAAGGAAGAGCGCCTGCCTCCAAAATTACTTGTCAAACAAATGAGTGCCTCTGGCACTCCCTTAGGACACTGTCTCCAGGAATTCTGTTTTGTCCCTCCAACCACTTCAAGGACTCAGCTTGATGTCTAGAATAAGGGTAACAAGTTAGGGTTGTTGGTGGGTGATAAGAGGATGGGCAAGGAGGGGGCGCCACTGGAAAAATAATTAACCTACGTGAGCTCACAGCAACTTCCTTCAGGAAACTTGACCCACTCCTTTTTTCAAAAAAAATAGCCACTAAAGGGATTGTGATTTTAGCATGGAATCTCTGCGGGCAATAATCATTCCTAAAAGGGAGTGTTAATTTTAGATTGAAAAACGCTCCTTGCTTTTGAAGAACATATACTCAATAAACATAATGTTTCCACTGGGAAAAAAAAAAAAAAAAAAAAAGATGAATAGACTAACTCCAAACCAGAAAAGCTTAATTCTTCAAGTGTATATGGCCCCATACAGGCCAAGGCAGTCTCTCTGCCAGGATAGCAGTTCCCACTTCATGCCTCCCTCCCTCTCTGCACCTCTGGAGAAAAGGCAGCTGGCTGTGGCCAGGCAGGGTGCAAGGAAGCCAGCCTCTCCTGATTGAAATTTGTGGGGGCTACAAGTGCTGAGTCAGACCTGGGATCTGCATCCGGGCCGGGACCTCACACTCACCAGCAGCTGTCAGGCGTAGGGATCCGCTCAGGACCCGTTCTGCTCTGCATCTACATTCCTAGCAACATATGTTGAGTGAATGATGGAGGAGAAGCCAGCTTGAATTAATGAGTGAATGAATGAATGGATGTGTGTTAAGGATGTGTGTGATGTGCCAAGTGCTGCAGCAAGCACTGTCACCTACTTCATCATCTGCACAGCAATTCTGTGAAGTGGATGATCATGCCTATTCAAGGTCAGATAACTCAGGCAGTTTGCCAAAGAACCAACCCAGGACTCAATCCATTGTTTGGACCTACCAAATAGCTACCAAATAGCTCAATTTTGGGCTTACTACATGAGGAGTTCATAAGTACTTTAATCCTTTCTTTCTTTTCCTTCCTTCCTTCCTTCTTTTCTTATTTCCTTCCTTCCCTTCCTTCCTTCCTTCCTTCCTTCCTTCCTTCCTTCCTTCCTTCCTTTTCCTTCCTTCCTTCCTTCCTTCCTTTCTTTCTTTCTTTCTTTCTTTCTTCTTTCTTTCTTTCTTTCTTTTTCTTTCTTTCTCCTTCCTTCCTTCCCTTCTTCCTTCCTTCCTTCCTTCCTTCCTTCCTTCCTTCCTTCTTTCTTTCTTCCTCTTTCTTTTGAGATAGAGTCTTGCTCTGTCACCCAGACTGGAGTGCACTGGTGTGATCATGGCTCACTGCAGCCTCGGCCTTCCACACTCAGGCAGTCCTTCCACCTCAGCCTCCCAAGTAGCTAGAACTATAGGCAGTGCATGTACCACCACTCCCAACTAATTTGTTTTTTTGTAGAGATGAGGGGTCTCGCCATGCTGCCCAGGCTGGTCTCAAACTCCTGGGCTCAAGCAATCCTCCCATCTCAGCCTCCCAAAGTGCTGGGATTTTAGGCATGAGCCACCGCACAGAGCCTTTTTTTTTTTTTCAAAATGGTTGTAGGAAAGGAAGAGTGTCAGCACTATTATCCAAACCTAGAGAGGGTCTCTTGGCACTGTGCATGTGCTGTGGGATCTACAGTGAAAAAACTTGAGAGAGATAGTTACTGTATTAAACAAAAGAGTTGGGATCCAGAAGATCTTGAAGGTTTGAAGGAGGAGCTGGAAATAAAGTAATACCCCACCCTCAATTTTTTCAATTACAAAAATCAAACCAATTCACTTAAAGTCCTGTCAGAGTCATTAACCTAACTCTATACGGAGGGAGGAGGAGAGCTTGCAAGAATCAGTAGTGATTCTTGTCATTAATTTGCTATGTCATAGCACTTACCCTGTGGTAGTCTAATTATCAGAGGGAGGGGCAGGGGCAGGAAAGGACTGAGTACAAGATCAAGATTAATGTAGCTGTAGGGTAGTCCTCAAGGCCAGTAGGCCAAACTACAGCATTTGGTAGGTGCCTGAGGAAATTATAGGAGTTACATGGTCATTGCAGGTTCTATCTTGTTGTTCCCATCTTATAAAGATGTAGCGAGGATTAGGTGAAATAATATATTAAGAACTTAATGATGCATGATACATAATAGTTAATAAATATTAGTCATTGCTATTTTTTCTAAGTCTTCCATGTTACAAATTTCTATGATGTGTATTTTTATTTACATGAAGTATTTTCCTCTTCAGGTTTATTTTCTTTAGCTAAATTTTCAAAAGTGAGATACCTGAATGAAAGGGTACAGGCACCCTTAGATCTCATGATAGTTCATACATATTACCAAATTGCTTTCCTAAATCATTAGAATGATATATGCCATGACCAGCCACAAGGGAACCATCACTAGCGCTGGGTATTTTTTTTTTTTTAATTTTTTGAGATAGAGTCTTGTTCTGACACCCAGGCTGGAGTGCAATGAATGCAACTCTCTACCTCCCTGGTTCAAGTGATTCTCCTGCCTCAGTGCCCCGAGTAGCTGGGATTACAGGCGTATGCCACCACACCCAGCAAATTTTTACATTTTTAGTAGAGACAGGGTTTTGCCATGTTAGCCAGGCTGGTCTCGAGTTCCTGACCTCAGGTGATTCACCCGACTCAGCTTCCCAAAGTGCTAGGATTACATGCATGAGCCACCATGCCCGGCCACACTGGGTATTAGTATTGATTTGTATTTATAATAATTGGATTGATTTTTAGGGTTGATCCTTCTACAAATACCCATCCAGAGAAACAGCGGACTGGGTGTAGCTGGATACAGGGCAGGGCCAACCAACCAACTAGAATGAAACCAAAGGCAGGAAAGGGCCTCTCAGGTGAGGGAAGACTGATAAGAAAACTAGCAAGGATATGACCATTCTCAGGTGCTCACAGCAGGAAGGAGTGGAGCCATAAGATGCACATTGACCCCCCACCAAGAATGCTGCAGATAAACCCAGATAAGATGAGAGACCTCTGAGGCCTGAATAACTTGTTCAAGGAAGAAAGAAAGGACCAGTGGCAGGCAAGAAAAGCTCACAGAAGCCCAGCCCGTGTTGCCTGGCAATGTGTGGAGGAGCGGTGATAAAAGGAAGGGTCCCCAAATTATACTTTTCTGCAGAGGAATAAGAAGAAAAAACCTGTTGGGAAATTCAGGAACACAATACCTTATAAGGACTTCTGGTCACCAGAACTTAGTACTTTTCTGTTGTTTAAGCCATTCCGTTTGTGGAACTTTGGTAGGCGGCCCCAGCAGACAATGCAAAGGTCCTCCTGGATCTAGCCTCCCTTCATTCCTCTCCTCAGCTCTCAGTATCCCCCCTCATTCACTCTCCTAGCACAGCTGACCTCCTCCTATTGCATGGAGACACTAGGCACACTTCCACTTTGGGCACTTTGCAGGGCTGTTCCCTCTGCCTTGAACTTCCTTCTCCCCAAATCTGCCTGACTCCCTCCTACACCTCCTTCAGATCTTTACATCAATGTCACCTTCTTAATAAGGCTTTTCTTGACTACTTTGTTCAACACTGGACCTTCCCCTACTCCCACCTTCTCGTTCCTCTTACCCTGCTCTGTTCTTTTTCCTGATAGCCCCAGTCTCTCTGACACACTATACTATTACACTCTCCTTGTTTATCACCTTTATTGTTTCTTGTCTGTCTCCCTGCACTGGAAGTTGCATGCCATGATGTCAGCAATTTTTGTCTGTTTTGATCACTGATTCCTCTCAAGTGTCTTGTACAATGTTTGACACATAAAAGGCACTCAGTAACTGATGAACAAATGAATGGTCTTGAGTGGCTGATGTGTCTGGTGTGTGTGTGTGTGTGTGTGTGTTTGTGTGTGTGTGTATGACTTCAGTGCTTACTCTATGTCTACCCCATGCTAAGCACTGCTTGAATGCCTGTGGAAACCTCTTAACAACCCTATGGGGTAACAATGATTATCTTCATCTTACATAAACAAGGAAACTAAGACTTACAGAGACTAAGAACCTTGCCTATGCTTCTTCTGTAAGTCGGCACATCGGAGTCCATATTCACACTCCAGGCTTTCTGATCCCAATGCCACACTGGCTTCTTGCTGGGCATTTGGCAGGGGCTCTGTTCAGAAGAATGCCCCATGTCCCGTTTCCTAGGGATCAGGGTAGTAGCCCAGGGCAGCTGCAGCCCAAGGCAAGTGTTTCTAGAGTGGCCCTGAGCCATAGCTGGCCACCACCCAGCTGGTAATGGCTCAGGCTTCCAGGC